AATGATATCCTGCCGAATAGTAGGGGGCTGTCGCGAGGTAGCAGAGCTCAGTCCACCTTTGCTTTTCCGTGTAGGGATCCTGTATGGTGCGGCACAAGTCTTCCTCATCGAAGCCACGAAGAGGGAACACGCATGGAAATAAATTCATATGATCTGCATCGTGTTTTGCCCTAAATGTCATGTTTTCCTTAATCATTTCCATCGAATCAGAAACCTTCCAACTGCGGGCCTTCAGGTATTTATACGCCAGGATCCGTCTGTCTTCTTCGTTCGCACATTTCATAAACTGGGGCGGGTAAACGTTGCCGTATTGGCTGAGGACTTTTTGAAGAAGGGTTGTTACGGCAGCCTCCTTTTTTTCACACAACGTTTCCATCTCTGGAATGGATACTGGAATATTTTCTACCGAAGACATCGCCTTTGTGTGAGTACATCTAATGTTATAAGCACGTAAAAAAAAAAAAAAAAATAGGGAAAAGAAAGGAAAAAGAAGACACACAGCACAGAAGAAATGCGAAATAAATAGTAAAAAAAAAGGCAAATAATAATAATGGAAATGGAAATGGTGTTTTTTCCCTCTTTTTTTTTTTTTTTTTGTTTTCCCGATGCAAGATCGACACGGCCACATCGTCATTTGCACATGCGTGTAAAAAAAAAAAATAAATAGAAAGAGTACTCATTGTAAAGTTACTCCAAACGGAAGTTTACACATCACCCCCGGTGCCCTGGGTCTCCTGGTCATTTCTTGCGTTGATAAACAAGTAAATACACCGCCTCACCCTCTATGGCCTCCCGCATGGTAACCGTATGCACTTTTGCATCATTACAAAATGTTAACGCCGCGTCGCCCTGTGCCGTTGTGGGCGTCGGCAAAGATGCATTAGCCAAATATGTCACATAATGTCCACGCTCAGTAGCCTTCCCACGATGCGCGATAAAGGCGACAAGTTCGTACGTTCTGGTTGCATTGCTTAGTGTCTTATCTGAGCACGTCGATTTTGGAAGCACCAGCGTCTTGGAGAAGCGAACCAAGTTTTCCAGTTTGACAAGTTCGCCCTCAGCGGTCACAGCCCACCGCTGCAACTGCAGGAGGAGTACCGTGGGCAGTCGTCGAAGTTTCACTGTCTTCAACAAATCCTTTGCACGAGCACTGTCGTAAACTCGCTCACGTTGTAATGACCGCTCAAGCGCCATTTCAAGACTACATTCCGCACTAAAACCGACATCCACTTGAAGGATAAAAAAACCCTCGACAAGAACCGAGGCATGATCCTTCAGTTTGCTTTTGCCCTTCAGGTGATTCTCAACCGCGCCACCAAAGACAGCATCCAACAAAACTGAGCGGGATTTGTCACAGTGTTCCCGCACGGAGAGTCGTTCCCTACCCTTCACAAACGTCCAACCTTTTTTTTCAGAATTCCCCTCAAGCGAAGCGTTTGGGTCGCGAATTCTGCCAGTGGAAGAATCACCATAACTCCCCTCCAATGCGCACAGCTCGGTCTGAATCACCTCCAGCAGGTGATGCATAAACTCCGTCGCGTCTTCTTGTGAGGAACCATCCATTTTCCCCCAATGGGAGGGTGCGGCTGAGGAGGCCGTTTGTCCACGCACTGCCTTGGGTAGAGAGAGCGGTGGGACCAATTGATTAGGGGCTCTCGCCCAGTACGAAAGCATCCATTTCCCCAAAGTGGCAAGCGTTGGACACAATTCCGCCTCAACCACTGCGGATATGGCTAGCTGCGCAAATGGCGGTAGAAACACCAAAGCTTGAGCCGTTGCATTCATAAAGCAATAGTTGCTATTGTTTAAAATTCCCCTTGCGAACGGCGGCGGGTTGAAGGCGGTGGCAAAAGCTAATTTTTGGCGACCCACAGAGGAAGGAGCCACAATCGAGTGATACACCTCTTCCAAGTTCAGGCTCTCAACAGGCAAATTTCGGGGCTCTGTTGATGTCGCACCGCCTCGCTGTGCGCATCCCCTCCCATCATTTTTCTTTCGTTTCCCTTTCGCGGCGACAACAATCGACCCCGGCGGACCAGTTGACGCGCCGCTCATTTTTGCTGCCTTCTTCTACAACCTAAAATAAAGGAAAGAGAGAGAGATGAGAAATAAAATGTTACATTCAGAGAACAAGAAATCTGCAAATTATTTTTGGCGTCAGATGCGGAAAATGTTTTTCTTTTCTTTTCTTTTTTTTTTCTTCATGGGGGTGGGAAATAACAATAATTCCTCCTCCTCTTCTCTCAGTTTTCATTTGGTATGAGATCCAAAATAATGGCGACTCCGAACCGCAGCAACAACAAGAAGAAGAAAAGGCCATGGTGAGATGCACGCAGGAGATCCCCTAACCCCCCAGGCCCACTTATTGCCCTAAAAGAGCCCAATCTGCGACCCATCAATCATTCGATCAAACAACGCAGAAATGCGCTTTTTTAACCGATCGCTGATAACTTTGAGAGGGACGGGGCCGTGAGCGGCAGTTGGATCTCCTCCCACTTTAGACAATTGCAAAATATGGCCCAGAGTTGCGTCCGTCAGTTCTTCCCAACTAACGTCAGCGTCCTCGTCTATGGCGCAGGTAAAGATGGACTCCAAAAGAGAAATCATGTCAGGGTTCTTAAACGTTTCTTGACACTTGATGAATAGTTGCATTAGAATAAGCCTTGAGCAACAAGACAACATAGCCGCAGCTTGTTTCTGTCGTGGTTTGGCCACACTAACACAATCTGCGCACCTCTGAAGTTCCGCGTAGCTTTCTTCAAGGAGAACATCCACCATTCCCACCGGTGTGGGGTTGCGTTCTCGAAAGAGCAACAACAAACGTTTTTGCACGGCACAAAACATTTGTGCCGCACGCGACAATGCCTCTTTTGCCTCTATCATTTCGTTCCTCACGGCAAGGTGAGTGTCAATGACATTATAATAGCTCTCTAATGGAATTGGATCTTGGAGACTAAATTGTATCTTAAAGTCGTAGTAAGCAGAGAGTCGTCTATGAAGTTCTTCGGTAAGTATCCAAAGTGCCTCCATGGTTGACGCTTGAAAACGGAAACGACAAGCGTTCTTAGAAGCTAAAACTGTCGCATCCTCCCCATTTACATATTGAATCGACAGCATGTTTGCAGTGATATCAACGGAGTACGCCATGTCTGGAAAAAGATCAAACAAGGAAGGAGCAACATCCTTGTTGGTGTTAAGCTGAATGACAAAATTCATACTTTTAACGGGAGGAATCGGTCGTGCCACAAGAGTTAAAGGAAGGCGGACTGTGGCACTCACTGTACAGGTTAGACTGCCCTTGCATACATAAATCACAACTGCACGTGCCTCAAGAGAAGAAGGAATAATCATATCTTTATTGTTCTGAGCATCAAACCGAAATGGGACATGTTCCACCTGATTCGGAGAAATTTTTTTCAACTCATGTTGAAGGATGTCAACCCGGATGGGCTGCGCTACATTTACTGCAATTTTTACCTCCCTCACAGAGTCCGTGGGACTAGTGTTGGAAAGAATTAAAGAAACATTAACTGCAGATTCCCGATCCTCAACCTCCGTTGGCGGGATCCCCCACTCGACACGCAGTATCCCTTCTACGGTGACGTTTTCTTTCGCTGATGACTTCTCACTGCCGCCGGCTTGCTTGATTGCATGCAGAGTCTGTCGTAGTTCACGCTCCATTTCAACATAGTCCGTCTCCTTGCTCTCCAGGGGTTGAATGGGTTTCTCCTCGGGGTCGGTTCCAAGGTAATTGACACTGACCGTCCCTTCTGTGCTAAGTGACACAATCATTCCCCTCGTTTTAAAAAATTCCCCAACGGCAAGACACAGAGGGGCATCCGTGGCCATCTTGGCACTCCAGTCGAGGGATGCATCGGAGTAGACATTCACTGATCCATTAACCGTACCAATCAGGAGGTTACAGGCGTTGGTGTTAGGGACCAGATATGACGTGAGGCACAAACTTTCCACGTCCAGCCTTTTGGAAAAGCGTAGCTCTCCACCAAGGCGTAAAACAAATAAACTGTAATGGCACAACACCACAATGTCGGCATCCTCTGCGCTCAATCCACGGGTGTGGCGACACACCTCGATCCCCACCGCATCCTCCCCCAAGAGAAACGTCCACGATGGGGAAATGGTTTCACCACAGGTTTTTGAGACACCGTTTTCGTTTGTTTCCATGTAAACCTCTGGTTTTATCCGATTGTTCACAAGGGTTGCAAAGGAGTAACACATAAGATTCATAGCAGAATTATTCGTCAAAAAATAATCTCGCTGAGAACAATACAAAAAGCATCCGGGCAACAAAAACTGTGATCTGGGAAGAAAGCACTGTAACACAACCGTATTATGATTTACAACGGTAATTTGTCCATCCATGGATTGAACACACACCATTTCATGGGATGCACGGCCAAAATTACCGCACGTAAAGTTGTACGATGTACTCGCAAGACACGCCTCATAATGTATTGTAAAACGATACAATGCGCTGAGAAAATCGTCCGTGTTCTCGTTTTCCTTTTCCTTTTCCCTCTCGCGAAGCAGACGGGCCAACACCAATCGCTTTGGAAACAAAATCACTATCAAATTTTTCGGTTGACCGCCACTTACAGGCTCCAGCGGTCGGCACGCCACCTGCAAAATGGGCGCCCCAAAATCCTTTTCTATGAGAGTGTCGTCCGGCTGCGCTGCTCCCTTCTTCGTCGGCCGCAGAACACGCAGAGTCCCTGAGAAGGACCCGAAGATGATTTTGTCCTCCGCATCGGGGTTGTTGTCAGCGTTTCCGAGCGTCAACGCGGAGAAGTGACTAAACTCTTCTCCACGGTAGCTGCTGTACCAGTGATCGCGCAGTTTGAACAGGGATCCCATTTAATTTCCACTCAATCAATCCACAGTTCCCTAGCAAGAAAAGGGCTCCACGCAATCACACGCACAGAAACAAAAGAAAAAAAAAAAAAAAAAAAAAAAAACAAGCAACACAAAAGGGGGCATCAATTGCATGAGAAGACGACACCAAAACTAACAAACAAAATTTTTTGACACACAAATTTATACGCGGAACAACAACAACAAATTGTGGAAATAACATTCAAAAGGATATTCAAAGGGATGGGGTGGGGGGACAAATACCCGCGTGGTTGCCCACGTAAATAATAATAACGTCTTTTTCCTGCGGCTCTTTTCCTTCTTTTCTAGTGAAAATTTCCTTGTCCACCCCCCAACATCTTAACCTCCAGCAAAGCGTTTGCACACACAAAAACACAAAAACACAAAAAAAAAAGAAGAAAAGAAAAAAAAAAAAAAAAAAAAAAAGGAAGAGGCAAAAGTTCGTGGGATTATTCATTTCAAATACTCGTTGAATTCAGATATTTCTCTTCATTGAGGTAACAAAACCATAAAATGAACCTCGTGAATGGGCGGTTTGAAAAACAATTCGTCCAGTTGTCCGTTCTTTTCTGCTATTGCCCTCATTGACGGCCTCTGAATTTTGAAAATGGAACGGAGGAACGTGGAGATAACCCTTCTGCACGGTGTTCAATATGCTCATACGCTTCACGTGTTGCCAAAGGGTCATTCGCACTCTCCTGCCCTGCCAGTTTGGCTTTTCGTGTCATTCCTGTCAGTCCATCACCATCGTCCTCACCCTTCGCAATATTCGTGATCTTCGTTGATAGTTGATTTGCGTAGCCTGACACCGTGGACCAACCCGAGGACAACTTTGTCTTTACATCCCCCAGATCTGCCTCTTGCATGAGAGTACGCGCTTGTGTACCTGCACTCCCTGCTATTTCTGTTGCCTTCTTTGAGAGCGTTGCCCACCCGCCGGCCAGCGAGTTGTACCAATCCCCACTACCGGCGCTATTTTTCTCGCCCCACTGTTTTCCGTCCGACCCCATGCCAGTGAAGGGACGATGTTGCTGCGGTGCTTGCGGCGCCATGGCATCCTTTTCCCTCTGTCTTCCTTGTGTTAGACGCTCGTACCATTCCGGTGGTGTCCACGACTTCTCGTCAAATGAATTGCCGAGAGCTTCGGCCTCTAACATGGCAGCGTAGCGAAGTGCACCAAGGGATTCATAGCGTGCTTGAATAGGGGCACGGGGAACATTGTTACGTTCAAAGTATTCCCGGGCACGACGATTGCCACCCAATTGCATCTGCCGCAACTTTTCTGGCCGCCAGTTTGTCCAACCGTCCATCGTTGGGCTCCGTACAAATGAGAGATGGACTCCAAGACTCCGGTGTACGCCGCTACATTCAAGGCATATAAAAACGGCATGATGCACATCGCACCACTGTGGATTCGGTGCGCCACATTCAAAGCAGATCTTGCATTCACTGTCACGTGCTGTGATCTCAGCAAATACGGTTTTGTCCGCCTCTGTATGAGACATTATTTCCTTGATTTGTTATCACGATTCCCCCTTATGTATTCCTTCCCTCTTCGTCTAGTGAAATGGTATACTGGGGATTAACAGGAGAAAGTGTGCTACTCGGCAAAAAAAGAAAACAAAAAGGCCTACGCCACCAGTATACCACTGAAAAAAAAGAAAAAAAAAAAAAAAAAATAGATATGACAAAGCAATATTATCTGCAAATATACATAAACATATATGCGCTACAGGTGATGTACGGTGACTGTACACATCAGGCCAAAATGGGTGGGGGCGTTGGAAAGACAAGTGCGCATGCGTTGCATCACCCACAACACGCGTCTTCAACATCTTGAAGGAAAAGGAAGGAAGAAAGAAAGAACGAGAGGGCGGAAGAGAAGACAGTCCGAAAACGTAAACCATCAGACAACATCATTTTCTTCTTCTTCTTTCATAATTTCTCTTGTTTTCTCGTGCGTGTTTGCGTCCAGCTGCTCATTTCTTCCATTTGATTAAAAAGAAAACAGGGAAAACAAAAGGCCAACCCCACAAATTCGCGACATCATTTCCACAACACAAACACACACACAAAAAGGCAACCAGAAAGACATAACAAAAAAAAAATCGTCTGAAATCACTATTTACATTTCTTTGTACACATGCATGCAGACAGGAGGAGCAAAATAAAAGAAAAAGGAGCGTGAAAAAAGCAAAAACAAAAAACAAAGCCAATCTTTTTAAGCGTAACACAGAAACGAGATAAATTGCAACATGCATATATATATGCGGCACCGTGTTAGGCATCAAAGTCTTCTTCACTACGTCGTCTTCGCACTTGGGCTTCTGGATCGGGAGGCAGAACGCTTACCTGCCTTCACATTTGCATTACCCCCTCCCCTCATCATTTTATTGAGTTCCCCCAACGTTGCGTCCCGTGTCTTTTTATTTGCCTGTAAAACCGGTTTTGTCTGCTGCCACTCCGATCGTGCGTGCAAGAGTTGGTCCTTGTCTCCTTTTTTTCTTGCTTTTTCAGACTCAGCAGTCTCTTGTAATTGCAAGGATGGTACAGAACGGTCTGAACGAATTTGGATTTTAGATTCCCTCCGCTCCCTGCCTTCCCTCTGCGGAGAAATGCTGTTCAACCTACGGCCGTAATTGGCCTCCTTCGTCTCCAAGTCACATATACGGGCCTCATACACCTGGCGCAGAAAGTTAATTTTGGCCGCAAACTCTGGTTGAATACTATCCAACTGTTCCTGCAGTTTCTTAAGCCGCTCAGCCTGCTCCGCCGCCTCTGACTTTAGTTTATCAACCTCATTAGAGCCCCGCCGATCGCCATGATAAGAGGACATCAATGCGTATTGGCTCGCTGCCGCTTCAGACTCGCGCTCCAGCTTTCGTGGTGAGTGTTCAGCCATGCTAGGACGCTGTATAGATAAATTGCCCGTAGGATGAACTGCCCTTTCAATAATCTCATCCTCATTTTCCATTTCGCCAAGTGTCTCATCCACATGCCGCGGTGTCGTCGACAACGATAGTGTGAGAGTTTTGAGAAAGGCGTTGATTTCACTCTCAAAGTTCAAGACGTTGTTCAGACTCTCCATGGAGTTCTCCGCCTGCTTTATTACATCCACGAGGTTATAAACCGTCTGAAAGGGTATTTTGGTGACATCCGACGTACCGTACAACTCGTCATCCAACGGCTCACTTCCTCTTTGGCCCTCTTGCAGTGTACACACCTCATTTGATGAAAGTATTCCAGGACTAAAATTCTTTGCTTTACCAACATCTGAAGCCGTTTCCTCAGTTGGTTGGTCCGCATTCTTTTGCTGACGGAGTGTCGCTAACGTCTGGCCCACTTGCCATTGCTGGGTGGAAATACGACCAATGCGATCAACGAAGGTGACTGCACCGGGGGGAAATGTCAGGGAAATTCGCTTAAGAAGTTCCTCCATTTCTTCCTC